AACCTTTGCCCCTTAGATTCATGCAGCTTTGCTTTGTAATGTGAGTCTGAGTTTCAAAAGACTCTCTAGCAGAGAAGACCCTTTAACCGACAGACCATTCCACAATGCAAACACAGGAAATTCAGCAAGAGGGAAGAGGCACTGGTTTCTGAAAACAGCCCTCTGCCCCCAGTTAAACGCCATCTCACATTTCCCAAGGAATCAAAACGATTCCTTCAGTTAGGTAAATATGCCTGGCCACGTGACCAGGAGCTAACCGGAGGAGAAGAGAAAATGTCAGAAAGGCATTGTAAGAAAATGTAAGAAAAAATTTCTCTAGGGCGGCGCCTGTGGCTCAACGGAGAAAGGTGCTGGCCCCATATACTGGAGGTGGCAGGTTCAAACCCACCCTGGCCAAAAGAAAAAAAAAACCAACTCCCCCCCCCATTTCTCTATTTTGTCTTTGATGAAGGAAGAGTGGCCACCACTGTAAAACAAATTGTACATACTTTTACTTGTGACTTTGGTACATAGTGAACTGAAACACAAGATTTAGAAAAAGAAAGCCACATAGTATCATAATAGGTGACTGAGGTTTTCTTTTTGTAATAAGTTTAATCTGACTTTATGAGAGTTTTGAGAAGATAATTCACACAATGGTTTGAGCAAATACAAAGACTCAAAAAGAAGTTATATAGTGGTTAAAGTTGAATATCTTTGGCAACAACCAACCTATTTCATGTTTCTTGTGATATATATATCTATATATATATCAATCTAGTACATATACTACATAAATGTAGTTCTACATTTCAAAATGTAAAAATGCTAAGAAATGTAGAGTGACTGTATAAAAAGTTAAAGTCCTTCAATTAAAAATTAAAAAATAATGGCTCAGCGCCTGTAGCTCAGCAGCTAGGGTGTCAATCGCATATACTGGAGCTGGTGGGTTCCAACCAGCCAGGGTCTGCCAAACAATGATGACAACTACAAAAAAAGTAGCTGGGGGCGCCACCTGTGGCTCAAAGGGGTAGGGCGCCGGCTCCATATACCAGAGGTGGTGGGTTCAAACCCGGCCCTGGACAAAAACTGCAAAAACTGCAAAAAAAAAAAAAAAAAAGTCCAGCATCGTGGCAGGCTCCTTTAGTCCCAGGCACTTGGGAGGCTGAGGCAAGAGAATGGCTGAAGTGGAGGGGGGAGAATGGGTGGAAGGAGGGTAATTGGTGGGACCACACCTATGGTGCATTTTACAAGGGTACATGTTAAATTTACTAAGTGTAGAATATAAATGTCTTAACACAATAACTAAGAAAATGCCGTGAAGGCTATGTTAACCAGTTTGATGAAAATATTTGAAATGATATATAAAACCAGCACATTGGGGCAGCACCTGTGGCTCAAAGGAGTAGGGTGCCAGCCCCATGTGTTGGAGGTGGCAGGTTCAAACTCAGCCCCGGCCCAAAACTGCAAAAACCAGCACATTGTACCCCATGATTGCATTAATGTACACAGCTATGACTTAATAAAGAAAAAAAAGAGAGACTGGCTTAAGCCCAAGAGTTTGATGTTGCTATGAGCTGTGATGTCACAGCACTCTACTGAGGGTGACATAGTGAAACTCTGTCTCAAAAAAAAATTAAAAAAAAATTAGGTTGAAACTCTGACATATTGTACTAACAATTATACTCAGAATTCTGTTGTTACTCTGTTGTTTATGAGACTAACTTTTTATACTACAGGATACATTTTTTTGTACTAGATAAAAGCTTTTCAAGGATTTTCCACAGTATTAAATGACACTTCAAATTCTCCTGTCTTCTTGGGTCCAATTTCAGGTTCATTTTATTCTTGTCTTCACCTTGTCTGCTGCTCTTCATAAGATTTTGCTCCATTTTCCTTCCTTAGTTTTGCCGTTTCTTAATACTAAAAAATCAGAGCAAAGAATCAGTTTGCTTTTTTGCAAATTAACCTATTGGGCATACCATCATGCTTTTAATATACCACAGAAATAAATTATTTTTATTTCAGCATGAAATTGCTTTTACGTGTTGTATAATGTGCGTCTTGATTATGTTTTAAGCAAATTTCAGCGCTTTTTCTTCCATCGAATTTAGGAATCAGAGGCCTAAAAGATGTGAAGGCAGTAATGTTTCCAAGATAACTGAGCTACATCCTTATTTGTAAAATAAGAGACACTTCATTTCCCAAATTTTGATGGATGGTTCCTTATCCGACCCATAGTGATGTTTTTATTCTATAGCTATAGAAATGTATCCCGCTCCACTCTTGAACATGCTTCCTTACTCTTCTTTCCACAAGTTCGTTGAAAGAGAACCCCTGAGCCCGGCCCAGAGCATCGCCGTATCCATAGCAACCAGACTTCAGCTTCCTCTGTTACCATGGTGCCGGTTCAGCCGGGCCTGGTGGTCGCTATGGTAACTAGGGGCGGGTCGCAGGGTCCAGGCAACTGGGCGCATGCGCGCAGGGACTACTGTACGCGGCGCGCGGTTGCGGGCCCCTCAGTTCCCCTCGACATGGCGCTGAGGCGGCGACCAGGATTTCGGCTCTGCGCCCGGCTGTCCGACTTCCTCCTGCTGCTGCTTTTCAGGGGTGGGTTTTTGAGTTTTCACCTTGAGAAACTAGAGTCTAAGGGTGAGGGAGGCAGGGCGGGCCGAAACAGCTGAAGCCATCAGGGACGCGAGTAGCGGTCCGGGCTTGGAAGACTCCGGGGGTCCCGGGCCAGAGGGGCGGAGGCCCAGGCGACACGCGGTGGGATCCGGGCTGGGATCTGGACGGGGGCTGGTGGAGGCTCAGGCGGCTGACCCGGGCGCGGGTGGGTCTCGGGCTGGGTCCTGTCCGGACAGTGGTCCCGTCCCGGGCGGTGATCTGGTCCCGGGCGGGGGGCTGATCCCCCGTGGTGGGCCTGACGCGGCCGGCGGCCTGTCTGGGTGGGGAAGGGCCTGGCCCGGCGGTGGGCCGATCCTGGCGGTGGGCTCCTCCGGGCGGGGGGCACGGCATCCTGGGAGGACTGTGGCCGCCGCGGCGTGGGCTTGGGAACTTGCTAGAAGACACCGCACGGCAGTGCGGTGCTGGGAGAAGCGGACAGTGATGAGGGGCGTCGCGAAGTACTCGCGAGGCAGAAAGCGCGGGGCTTGTCCGGCTTCTTGGTCACAGCCCTCTGGGGATCGGCTGTTCATTTTTGACTCTTGCCGTAAACAAAGGAACTGCTTTCCTTTCCTAGAGGCAAAACGCGTGGATATCCACCTATTTTTTTTTTTTTTTTGTCTCCACACTGGCTGAGACCACACAGACCTGGAAATAGCATTTGGGCCATTTGATCACGATACACTCACAAACTTGGGGAGTTTTGTTTATTTTCTTTCCCACCGTTTTGGAATTCTCATTAGATCTGCATTTCCCTGGATAGTTGGACAGGAGGACTAACATAGCTTCCATTTAGTGAGCGTGTGCTATACACTAGGCACTCACATTATCTCATTTACTCCTTGCAACAACTTTGTGAAGCCGGGTTTTACTTTATTTATTTTTCTCTGAATATGGGATAAACTTTTCCTTTTATTCATGAGTTATTTCACCTTGTTAGTATACTATTTTTAAGCAAGTAGGACATGAAAACAATTAAAGATTTTTATCTTTTAAATATTTGCAATCTTTTTTCCGTAATATGCTTGGTAAAAATTAGTCTCGAGGTGGGTTTTATCAACCCGTTTCTCAGAGTCAAGTCAACTTTCCAGGACTGGGTTCTGAGTAGTGAAGAAGACTCAAATTCACGTCTGCCCAAAGCACTACACCACACTTCTTCCCCTGGCAGGCGTCTCCTGCTAACCAGACCAGGACCTTTTTCAGTTCTTAGGCCATTTTATTGTTTGGTTTACTTGCCACTGTCATCCCTTGATGTTTTCCAGAACATACAATTTAAAACACGAGAGGACTGTTTGGGAGTAAGGAGGAACAGGCTTAGGAAAACAAAGCGTTCCTGTGTTTTGTGCTAGTTCTGGTAGGATGTTCGTGATGGTGATGGTAAAAAGTGAGAGTCTGGGCCAGAAGTGCTGGAAATAGAGCTCTGTGACAAAGGATGAGTTTCAGTGTATAGATGGGGGCTGTGGGCTTTGCCTGAAAGTAATTTCTAAAACCAGATGTGGCTGGAAGATACAAGTGATCAAAAGCTAGCCAGGGGACAAGGGTGTCAGGAATGTCCAGCACCCACTGTGCTGGTTACACTGACACTGTCCTATTCACCAGCCTGAAACAACTCCCTATTGTTCACTTGGCCTGTTCACATGAAAGTTTCCAGTTTTTATCACAGAAACATTTGGCAGTTTAGTTCAGGAATAAGTTTCATCTTGGTAGTTTGTTAATAAAAGTAGAAAATGCTAAGAGCTTTGTATACCCTTAACCTCTGACTTTGCTCTCCCTGAGGGGTTAGTTTTGTGGCTCTGGCTACTAAGGGCTGAGACTTACTTGCAGAGACTAGGAGGAAGGATCAGATTTTGCAAACTAGGACTAATGACAAAGAGTCAAGGTTGCAGAATGTAGTAATCTACTTTGAAGGTATGTAGCTATCTTTTTATAGGTGGGGGTTCTTTTTTTCATTGTTTAGTTTGTATCCTAAGCATACTTTATTCTTCCACAGATCGTGACGGGTGTGTTTTTATATTTTTTATGATTATTTTTTCCCAATCGATATTACTATTTATACTCAGTTAAAATTTTCAGTTTCTGATATATATATTAGCAGATATTTCTATAGTAGTTACCCTTTGCCAGGCTTTATTATAAAAATTTCATACGTATTAATTCATTTAATCTTGATAAAAACTCTATCCCATTTTGTGGATAAAGAGAAGTATGTGGAAATTGAGAAGAGTAATGTATCCCATGTACCTTAAATTTGGGAATCTTCCATTGTTTACCTTAATCCAGTCTTTGGTTAGTTGTACTGTTCCATGTAACAGTGGAATTCTTATTACAGATCAGTTTGACCAAATTATCAAGTGTTCAAGGCTATGTAGTTTGCATATAACATTTTCTTTTGTTGAATTCACGGCAGGTGAAATTCACTTTTACAGATGTTATGCTTCATGTCTTTTTGAATGGGGTTATGTAGGAATTACTGTTAGGTTTCCAAATCTTTGAGGTCCTAAAGAGAAGTGTTACATTTAAAATTAAAATAGTAACAGTTTGCATTCTTGGGATAAGATAATTTGTATGCTGAAGCATATCAAAATTTTTTTTGTTTTTTGCAGTTTTTGGCCGGGTCTGGGTTTGAACCCGCCACCTCTGGTATATGGGGCCAGCGCCCTGCTCCTTGAGCCACAGGCACTGCCCATATCAAAATTTGAAAATCAAAATTTCCAGGAAATTTTTGGAAAAAAGCTTTAATTCTTCTGTTTGTATCTGTTGGGACTATTTTTTGGAATGGCATAGCCCTTTACTTAGTTTTAATTGTTCTTAATTACCTGACAGAATCATTGTGAGACTTGTGTGCATTCAGAAAAACAAAGCATTCAGAAAAACAAAGAACACCTGCCTTGAAAGCCTGCATTACTTCTATCAGCTGCTCATTCCCAAATGGCTTGTTGATGGGCATTTGTTCTTGAGTGCTCAGTTTGGGGAAAGTGAATGGAGATACTTAATCGCAGTAATTGGGGTATTACATCCAGACAGAATTCCCGTTCACACAACTCCAAAGCTCTATGGAACCTGTTCTTAAGGTAGCCCCATAAGGTAGGTTGAATACGTTCTTTTGGGGAAAAAAAAAAAACCAGAAATGCATTTTCATCCCGCATAGCTTCTGAGACAGCCGCATCATGCAACAGAAGCTGCTATGGATTTAGTACATTCATCTAGCAGCTGTTAGAAATGTGATATTAGCAAATTCCTTCTCCATAAATTCTTCAAACTTTTTTAAAGCACAAGTGGAGTAAAAGAAAGGAAAACATGTGTGAATGAAATTAGGATGTATAGAGTGTGCTAAACGATACTCTGGTCATGAAGTTGGATTCTGTTTTAAGATATGTTCACAGTCAGGTGGTGTGAATGTGATGATGTTAGGGTTGAATACAAATTTCCAGTCTTTGTGTGTTCCCTCTGAATTTTAGCAGTATATGCAAATAACTTCACTGGAGTATAAAGAGAGCCTGAAAGAAAGTTTTGGTAAGCACATTCTTTTACACCTAGTTTAGCAAGGACAGTGTCCACTATGGTCCTTCATATGGAGGGCTAAAGCCTCAATTTAACTGTCTCTTTGCCACCTGCCATGGCACACAGAGAGCTTCCTGAGAACTGGCGCTTGTTTCTGATGTTCAGGAAATACTGTAGTATTTTGTGTTTGTGTGTTTTGTTTTTAAGTACTATCTCTATATGTTGTGTGTGTTATATATTTCCCATGAGTAGTTAATATGTGTAGCAGGGGTTTCTTTCATGCTGCTTATATAGAAACATCAAACTATTTAATAAAATTAGAACTATATGGACATTTTTATTATATCATCTTTCATTTTCAGAGTATCTTAAGGCTTCTGTGGTTCAGCCTTCTTTTTGCAAGTTATTCCCCAAATCATATTCTGTCATATTCTTGCTATCTGCTATGTCTGACAAGCTCGGCTCATAGTGATCCTTCCTGTCTCTAAATAAACATGATCTCAGTCCATAGTTCATTTCAATACAACAGACATTTATTGAGTATCTATGATATGCCAGGCACTGTTCTCTGTGCTGGAGTACAAAGTGAATAAAGCATCCCCAGCCCTTAAAGAGCCAGGGTATCCCATGCTGAATTATATTGGTTTTACTTTTGGGGTGCAAGTGCACTGTATCTTCCTAGTGATATTAAAAATTTGTTGGGAATAGAGGCTGAATTTATTTTCATTTGTATCTTTTTTCAGAGGTGACTGGTAAATACTCAGTTTGTCTCTGTTACTTGAAGGTCAGTTAACATTTCTTAAACATGGGCAGTGCCTGTGGCTCAAAGGAGTCATATGGGGATGCCAGCCCCATATGCCAGAGGTGGTGGGTTCAAACCCAGCCCTGGCCAAAAACTGCCAACAAACAAACAAAAAAACCCATTTCTTATGTGTCTAGGCTTTTCTTTTTTTTTTTTTTTTTCTGAGACAGAGTCTCACTTTGTTGCCCTTGGTAGAGCACAGTGACATCACAGCTCATGGCAGCCTCAAACTCTTGGGCTCAAGCAGTTCTCTTGCCTCAGCCTCCCAAGTAGTTGGGACTACAAGCACCTGCCAGATGCCTGGCTATCAGTCCACCCACCTGTCTATCCACCTGCCTCAGCCTCCCAAAGTGCTAGGATTACTGGTGTGAGTCACCATGCCCAGCCTCAGTGTGTAGGCATTTTTTATATACCTTATTTTAATTCCAGTGGCCATAGGAATTTTTGGAAAATCTAAGTTTTTATTGTAGTAGTTGCTATGGATGAAAGAGAACAGTATTTCTTTACTTGGTTTAATTTAAAAATCTTTTTGCCATCCAAGGTTAAGAAAAGATTGAGAAATGCTTATGATGTAATTTAAGTGTTGCAAGCTGCAGGTATATCAGCATATACTTTGTGATTACAATTATGCAAAACATTTTAT